CCTTCCTCTTGAGTAAACCACTCACATTCATGACAAGAGTAATGTGGAACACATTCTGTCAGTGGGATTGAGAGGAATGCAGCAGTTACAGCCACAGGCAGGGCAGGTGACACCCGGAGAGCTGCTGCATGAGCTTCCTGATCTGCTCTCCAGTTTCCCAATGCCACTGCAGACTTGCCCTTCTGATGACCTGAACAATGCATAATAGCGACCTTTTGGGGGGCCTACACTGCCTCCAGGAGTTCAAGAATCTCCAGCACATATTTGATGTCTTTTCCTCCTGAGGTAGTTAATCCTCTTTCTTTGTATATAGTCCCATGAACATGAAGAGTGGGAAAAGCATATTTAGAGTCTGGGTATATGTTAACAGTCTTTTCAGCTGCCAGGAAGAGGGCGTGCATCAGTTCAGCTTTTTGCGCTGAGGTGCCTGGAGTTAGAGCCCGAGCTTCCAGGACTGAATCCAGAGATACCACTGCATACCCAGCATATCTTGTTCCCTCTTTAAGGAAGCTGCTCCCATCTGTGAATAGTTCAAGGTCAGGCTGAGCTAGGGGCTGGTTGCTGAGATCAGGGCAGCTCGAGAAGACCTCATTAATCACCTCAACACAGTCATGGTCTGGAGGCCATGGTCCAGCTGATGGGAGGAGGGTCGCGGGATTTAAAGTCCGGACAACTTCTAGCTTCACTTGTGGATTTTCACAGAGCATACTCTGGTATCTGACCATCCTGGCATTTGTCAGCCAATAGTGTCCCTTGTATTCCATTAGAGTCATTACAGAATGGGGTTAACAGTTATTTCCCCTCCCAGTGTTAACTTTTCTGCCTCTGATACCAGCAAGGCTGTGGCTGCTAGAGCTCACAAGCAGAGAGGCCATCCCTTTGTCACTGAATCCAACTGCTTGGAGAGATAAGCCACCAGACGGTGCCATGAGCCTAGGAATTGGGTCAGGACTCCAGTGCCATGCCACTTCTCTCATGCACATAGAGGAAGAAAGGCTTTCTCACATCTGGGAGTCCCAGAGCAGGGGCACTGATTAATGCCTTCTTGATGGCATGAAAAGCCTGTTGCTGGTCAGATTCCCAGATTAGGGGCTCCCTTTCACTCCCCCTTTGTGGCTTCATACAAAGGCTTTGCTAGCAAGAAGTTAGTTTTCCAAATCCGGCAGAACCCAGCCACACCCAAGAACTCATGGATCTGTCTTCTTGAAGTTGGGGTCGGGATTGAACAAACAGCTTGTTTTCTTTCTGCAACAAGCTTCTGTTGGCCTTGGGAGATGTGAAACCCCAAATATTTGACCTGGTCTTGACAGATCTGGGCCTTCTTTCTAGATACCTTGTAACCAGCTTCCCATAAGAAACGGTGTAGGAACTCTGTCCCTTTAAGACAGTCTTGGTGGTTAGCCACTGCAAGGAGGAGGTGGTCCACATATTGTAAGAGTGTGCAGCCAGCTTTCTCTGCTGGGTATGCTCAGAAATCTTATGCCAGAGCAGTTCCAAACATGGTTGGGGAGTTCTTGAAACCCTGTGGGGGACGGGTCCAGGTCCTCCCATTGGAAAGCATAGATGGGTTGGCTCACAGGTGCCAATTGAATGCAGAAGAATGCATCTTTTAAGTCCAAGCACGAGAAGCAGGTTGCCTCTGCTGGTATCAGGGCCAGCAGTGTCCTTTTTGGCAACAGAAAGCACATTGATTTTTCTTTAGGGGCTCTGATCCCTGGGGACATACTTGTGGGGAGTTTCCTAGGGGCCCCTCTTTGCCTCTTCTTCAGCTTCTACCCCGACTGGAACTGTGTCCTCCCTGTCCATTTAATGCTGCTGCCAGGAAATCTACTTTCTTTTTCATCTTTCATTTTATTTCCTTTTGAGCTTTCTTGTCTCAGTTAACAAACACCTCGGTTGCCACTTTCAGAAGCTATGATGCATTCATGTTTGTAAAGCCTTCTAGTTTTTGTGACTTTCTACTAATGTCCCCTGTAAAGGTGACATTGATCATCTGCTGATTTTTCAGGAACCTCAGGATTGAAGGGAGAGTATAGACTCTATACTTCACATAGTCTCTCATAGAACTGTGCTGGGCTCTCATCAGACTTCTGTAAGATCTCTGTGACTTTGTTCACATTTATGGCCTTTTTTCCCCTTCTCTTACACCTGCCATCAGAGCCTCTGAAGGTCTGTGACACTTTTGAGCTTGCAGAAAGCTGTTTATAGCCCCGAGAGTAAGGAATTCAAGGCAAATTCTAGACACACAGTAAATCTCAGAAAAATAACCACTTTGGCTCCAACAGTTTAGCCAATTCTCTTAAGTCCTCTAGAGTATACTGTACATACGTAATAGGCTCCATAATTTCTGGCATTCCCATTTGTTGGCTACATTCTTCCAATTGCCACTCATGCCTTAATTGGTATTTAGCAATAGGCCAGGTTCTCAGCATTACCGGGGTAGGAGAGAGTAAGTCTTTCAAACTAGAGTCTGCTGACCCAAGCTTGGTTACCTTGGCTTCCAGTGCAGTCTGTGATGTCCTCATACAGCATAACTGAGCTTGCCAAGCCTGTTCCTCTGCATGTTGCAGCCCACAACCATGCAACCTGGCAGGCTGATTTACAATGCTCCTCCGGGAGTGAGTCCAACATAGGTGAGATGTCACAGGGCAGCTGGGGTCATCACTGGGTTCTCCCAAACCTCCATGGGAGTCCATTCCAATAATAAAGTCACCATTAGAGACCACAAATTAATTGCGGACCATAGCTCAGGCCCTTTGTCCAAATCTGCTGGGGGAATGGATGGCTCCACGCCAGACTTACTGACAGATCCTGCTGACTACACCAGTTTGTCATGCTCACCGTTTTGACCAACAGTGCCGGAGTGGGTCGGGTGGGAAACTGAAAGAATGTACGTGAAACAGGAGGCAATTGCATGTATTAGACAGGCAGCTTTATTCCAAGCAACAACACAGCAGACTGTAGGAGGGAAGGAGAGAGAGGGCAACCTGTCCTGCCTGTCTCCTAAAACCCCCAAAAAGTAGTTACACGGCAGCCGCAGCCTGGGCTCAAAAACACATACATTGTTACGTAAGTGCGCTTTGGCATCCAGCGCCCGGGGCCTAGTGTTTCAAGGTTATGTTTCCATGGTTACCCTTCAAGGTTGTGTTGGTTCCCAGGACTGCATCCCCCCATTCCAATGCTGAACCTGCATGACTGAAAATACGGTCTCCACATATTGCGTCTTTTTTCAGTTTTTACTGATTAGGTATAACACTTACTATCTTCCTAAAGTTCTTTCTTAAGAAGATTGTCTAATTGCCCTCCATCTCTATTTATTGAATAGTTCTTTTCCCACTAATTTGAGCGATTATATGTATGGAGTCTATTTCTGGAATCTTTATTCTTTTCACTTGGTCTTCTTAGCCAAACCATGGTTTTAATTATTACGACTTCATAACATGTTTTAATATCTAAATGGCTGGTCATCTGTCATTGTCCTATGTTTTCTCAATTTTCATGTCTAGCTTTTTATTTCTTTGTGAACTATAAAATCAGCCTGTCTAGTTCCAAAAATATTTAACTTTTTATTGTTTTATTGGGACCATATTAAATTTATTTTAACTTAGGGAGAACTTGCAAATTTTCAATGTGACTCTTCCTTTTAAAAAATATGGTATATTTTTCCACTCATTCTTAAAACTCATTTTAGCTGTTAACATTTTTATAAGATTGTTTCAGGTTTACAATATCTGCAAATAGCAATGCTTTAGCTCTAGTTCTCTAACATTTACACCTCTGATTACTTTCTTTTGTCTATTTTCATTGGCCAGTACTTACACCACAATGTTACAATGGCAGGTGGATAGCATGCATCATGGCATCACCCCTGATTTAGATGCTTTTCCTACTAAGTATGCTGGTTCTTGAACCAAAATATAGATGGATACATTCTTAAGGATGTATCCATCTTTCCCATTTTCTTGAGTGTTTTTTAAATCAGTATTGATTGTTTAGTCTTTTGAAAGTCTTTTTCATGTTTTTAATATAGTCAAGTTATCGAGTTTTTCCTCTTGGATCAATTTCCTTGATTAATTACATTCACAGACTTACTGAGCCATCTTTACATTACTCAAATCAAACCCTTTCTTTTAAAGTGACATTGAATCATTTGCTAATATTTTATGCTTTGCATTGATATTTACAAGTCACAGCCAACTATAGTTCTTATTTTCTGGGCATTTTTGTCAGTATTAATATTATACATTCTTCATAAACACATTTTGAAAATTGTCTTTCTTTTCTATGTTCCAGAGCAGTTAAAATAACATTAGAATAACTTCCTCTTGAAAAGCTTTGCAGAATTTACCTGTGAAATCATATAACCCTGGAGCTTTTGTGTTTTGTAGGTTTGGGGGAGTGGGGAGCTCTTTAACAATTATTCATATTGATTTTATGGAAATCTGTTGGAGTTAAAACTGGCACATTATAGTTTCCTAGAAAATGTATTCATTAGAAATCTGTCTCTTCCAAAGACTTTTCAGAAATTGCTGCGGATTTCAACAGTTACCTGAACACAGATCTCAATATGACTATCCAGGAATAATACAGAACCTAGTGAACTGTCTACCCTTCATCCACATTTCACATTTATAGCCAGAGACCAGGCCCTGCTTCTGTTGTGTTTTCCAGCAATGCTTTGACCTCAGATACGCTTTCTTCTCTCATCCGCAACTTTCACTTAGAAGTGGATGAGTTATAATTCACCTTACTTCTAAAAAGATTCTGAAGAAGAGCTAGAATCAGTTTGGTTCCAGCACATACCAGGAACACATGGCAGGAAGCCAGTATTTATCTGCAATGTTCCTGCACTAATGAGAAATGATATATAAGTGTATGTAAAATTCTTTAGTTGGCATTGTCATAGCCAATATTACTGGTTGCGCTTTTCTATGAAGAATACCAAAATATTTTGAGGTTAAGAAACTAATGTAGATATCTTTTTTCTCTCCATGTTCCAGGATTTTATAGAAACCTTGCCAACACTGTCAGGATTTCATGGCCAGGACCTTTTCGGAATTTGGAGTAAAGTCTACGACCCTTTATATTGTGAGGTAAAAGGAAAAAAAGATTAATTTTCAATCTGATTTTATGGTTTATGTCTACTTTAAACAGATAAGTATTTTCTCTTTTTTATAGTTATAAATATAGTATAAGTATAGTTATACTTATACTTCCTTGGGCATGGAACCACAATTCAGATTGCCTTATATGTAATCTTGAAAATCTTTACTTTTCTATCCATTATTTATGTTTTCATCCTTTAGAAAATTGCAAACAAGATAGCTTTTCTTTTAGACATTGTCACTCATTTATTTTGCAGTTCTCTGGGAATGCTGGGTCCTGTCATGAGTTTTAATTTAAAAAAAAAAAGCAACATTCTTATTACAAAAAAAGGGGAGAAAATTTCTAGATTTTGTGCATAATTTCTACATACAGAAATGAACCAGTCAACAGTAAGATAGGATGTCAAAATTGGCTTACCAGGAAAGAGCTTCTCTGTGTGATGTATTCGAATAATCTTTGTAGCTAGGTAAATTATTACTGTGTTTTTCTAGTCTGCAGGGTGTACTCGCCTCCACTATGGTCAAAAGGAGCACTTTCTATTCCCCTTTTCCCAACCAGTTCACTAATCCTGGGATAAAATTCTGGCCAGTCAACTGCCTCATGTCCATGTCTGATGTTGAGGTCATCATGAGTGTGTAGGAGAAGTAATTATTTTCATAGTCCATCTCAAAAGCAGATGACACAGTCTGCCCCCTCCATGAGTCAATTGATCCAGCCACATGCTACTTTCCCAGTATTTTCACTTTATCATCAGCACCTGTTTCAATGAAAATTTGTTAGCCTTATAAAAAAAGGCTCTCCAGTGGAGATAAGAACCCACCTTTTAGTTACAGGCTTTTATTCCCTACTACAGTTTTGGATTTTTGGTTGGTTTTGTTGATTTTTGTTTGTCCTGGGTATAGACCCAGGCAGGGCCTCAAGCATGCTATGCATACATTCTACCTCTGAGCTACACTCCCAGCTCCTTACTATTCCTGAGCCATTCCACGAGGGGACCATTGTGTGTGGTATCTTTTTCATGTCTCTCTCACTTATTTCTTCTGTATCACTTTGCCTTGCTTTCTCCTCCCCCTCCTCTTCCTCCTCCTTCCTTTTCTTCCTCCTCCACCTCCCCCATCACTGTCCTCCCCCCTCCTCCTTCTCATCTCCCTCCTCCTTCTGATCTCCCTCCTCCTCCATCCTTCTCCTCCTCCTTCCTCCTCCCTCCTCCTCCTCCTCCATCCTTCTCTTCCCCCCACTTTACTTCCCCTTCTACCTCCCCCTCACCATCCTCCCCCTCACCATCCTTCCCACTCCTCCTCATCTCCCTCCTCCTCCTTCCCTTTGTTTTCCACCTCCTCCTCCTTCCTCCCTCCTCCTTCATACTTCTCCTCCTTCCTCCTCTACCTCCCCCTCAACATCTTCCCCCTCACCATCCTTCCCCTTCCTCCTTCTCATCTCCCTCCCTCTTTCTCTCTCTTTTTCTCTCCTTCCCTCTTTCTCTCCCCCTCCTTCTCTCTCTCCCTCCTTCACTATCTCTCCTTTGAAACTCTCCTAATCGATTCTTCCTAATAGTCAATAAATATTGGCACAAGGTCTCTACCTGCCCTGCATACAACTTGCTCATCCATTTAACAAGCATTTGCCTAGTCCTCACTGTGCACAAGGTACACACTTTTCCTGAGTCAGTAAACTAGAAGTTCAGAAGGGTTGGGGTACATTATTGAAGGCTCCAGACATACCTGACCTTTCCTGACCGGCCTCACGAGCATCTCATTCAGATTTGAAGAAACATCATTTAACTGTAAGTTTTTACCTTCTCCAGAGGCTCATAAAAAGATTTCTAAACCTTTCATAAATGAATGACATTTATCCTTGTTCTGTAAAACATGACTCATGCATTGCCCAGAGTTAAGCCAAAGGCTATAGACTTGGTAAGAAAGGACAAATCAGTTTCTAAAACTTTTCTTTGGAAAATTGATATCACTATCTATCCTAACTTCTTAGAAAGAAGTTAGCAAGGCAAGAAAGGTTTTCCCTAACAGTGCTTGTAGGGTGGAAGAAGATAAGGAAATCAATAAAGTGGATGGTCATAAATAGAAAACACACCTACATTTTCCTCCTTTTTCATTCCTCCAGGGTGTTCACAATTTCACTTTACCCTCCTGGGCCACCAAGGACACCATAACTAAGTTGAGAAAACTATCAGAATTATCCCTCCTGTCCCTCTATGGAATTCATAAACAGAAAGAGAAATCTAGACTTCAGGGGGGTAAGTATTGAGAGAGGTGGGAGAGGTGTATTAGATTTGTGATTGAATAATCTGGTTCTGAATCCTATTACTAGTCCATTGAGAGACTTCAGAAAGGTCACTCAATCACTCTTGCACCCATTTCCACTCTACAAAATGGGGGTTTTGGTACCTACTTTATAGATAGTGAAGATTACAATGAATGTATGCATTCCAAGACTTACAACAAACACCATCTGGCACATAACACACTGTCAATAAACATCAGTATTGCTTACCTAGTCCTCAGTCTTTTCCATCTGGAAAATGAAAGATTTGGCCTAAAGCCTAAGTGGTCCTTTCATCTCTTCCAGATGAAGAAATCAAGGTTTTATGCCTGTATCACAAGAAAATCTATTGTATCTGGTATAGGATGAATTTTTCAAGTGAGAGGCTTGACAAAAGTGGTTGGCTTTCCTGAGCCTCTGAGTGGTGGCCAGTAATAAAGCTAATAGAACATATTTTACAAGCCAATGATGCACTATAAATTAATATTGATTTTGGACAGTTTATGACATAGCTTTATTTTTCCATTCATGTTGTGATTTATTTATTAGTGATTCCTCTTCTTGGTTAGAATTGGCCCTTTGTAGCATGGGACACTCTTCTATCATGAAGGCAGACCCAGGCAGGAGAATTCTAGGTCCTTGCAATCAGGATAGGTGAGTAGAAGAAAGAGTCCAGGACCATGCAAGGTGGGGCCTATGAGGGCAGCTGGGTGGACAGACCAAGATACCAAATGGGGAGTCAGGTTCAGATGAGGTTAATAAAGGCATTAAAAGTAAGGATAGACAGCAAGAGAAGGCCCATTGTGTGAAAAGTGACATAACAAAGAAAATCCAGACCACAAGGAAGGGTCTAAATTGGTCTGACACATAGATTCTAGACATTTTGAGGAAACTAACACAACCACATTAGGATTCCAGCCATTGCCAGACACTATCCACAGGTTCATGAGAATCCCAAGAAAATGCATATGGGAAAGTTTTCTAGGGTCTGGATCAGACTGTGAGGATGCTCGCTCAGGTCTGTATAGCTGAGAAAGAATACAAATTACAAACCAGAAGAGGAGGCAATTATAGCTAGAAATGCAAGCCTGTACATTGGGTGTAGCGTGAAGCAAACTGTAACCAGGAGAACAGCTAATGAGGTATGAAACCAGTCTAGCTAGGAGCAAATTTATGTAAGACCAAAGTAGATTGGGGCTAATGACTCAGAACAGTGATCACTAATAACATCAGAATGTTACAGAAGTCCTGAGTACATGGCACAGAGACAGATGTGATAGAAACATCTAAATCCTTGCTCCACACTAAGGTCATGAGCAACATGACCCAGACCTAGAGGAAGGGAGTGCAGCCAGAGAGGAACCTTAGATGGAACCTCGTGTGTTGGGGACAATTACCAGGCAAGATACAAGCTATGTGTAGGAGCAAAGCCTTGGAAATAGGTTCAATCTTATGAGATTTACAAGAGGGCCTCATTTCTGGCCCAGCAGGCACCAGCAATATGGCTCAGTCCCCAGCCCCATCGGATGGTGATGGAGGAGCTCTTGATTCATTTCCCCCAATGTCATCATGATAAATTCAGGGAGGCAGCCCCTCTTAACTTGAACAGTAGCTCATTATCCTGCAACATCAGCATCACTGAGCAAATGCCTAGAGATGCAGAATCTCAGGCCCCACCCCACACCTGTGGAATTAAAATCTGTATTTTAATAAAATCCCAGAATCCTTTGTACCAAACAGGAGCTGATGGTATTCCAAAACTAGATGCAGGGGTTTGCATATATGAATAAGAAATGGGGTTTATCTTAGTAGTTTGTTCATCTTTCCTAAGTTGTCTCCCCTGTGGCTAATAGAGGGTTGCACTTTGATAGAGAAAGAAGCTACTTCCTCTCTCTGGGTGTCAGTTTCCCCATCTGATGAGGAGATTAAACTAGATTCTGTCTGGAAGAGTCTTTCCCTGAGATGTTCTCTGGTCTTGGATTCTAAAGGCTGGCACGCACATGAACCTGCCTGCCTTGCTTTCTGGAGAAAGTCCAGTGCCATTGACAAGCACTGCAGGAAACAACTTCCTTCCAAAACACAATTTCAGCCTATTGTTCTGATCTGGCTAGGTAAGAGAGATTTGTCAACCGCATGCTAATTGGGTGATGCAGTGGCTGAACACCATCCTGCACAAAGAATATGCATTGTCTGGGTGACTCAGAGTCACACAAGAACATCAGGACTATGACCAACGTCCACTGACTCCTGCCAAAACTGTTGTTCCATCAGTTGATTTCAGGGTCACACTGTTTGAAAAGATGTACACATTCACACCCCAAATATTCCCAAGACTAATTTAGGGTACATATCCACTCTTGCTGTAGACTAAGGGCTGGCAAACTATAACAAGTACGCTAAATCCAACCCACTTCCTGCTTTTGTAAATAAAGTTTTATTGAAAAAGTCACAGTCATAATGTATTGTCTGTGTATGGCTGCTTTCCTGGTACCACTGCAAAGTTGAGGAGACACCGCAGGTCTATAGCCACAAACTCTAAAACATTTCCCATCTGGCCTATTACAGAGAAAAGTTTGCCAATCTTTTCTGTAGCCCGAGTAAAGGGTGTAAAGACTGTCTTCTGGTCAATGGTGTTTTATCTAATTTATATAGACTTAATAAAGGATGTTACAGGGAACCTAGAAGCTAGCTTTATATTACATTGTGGCAATGATTATGACCAAAGATTTTGACATGCTGGGTTCAAAGTCCAGCTTTTATGCTTGTAAGTGTGTAATCTTGGACAAGTTGCTGAGCCTTCCTGAGCCCCAGTTTTCCCACCTATTCAGTGGGATAGTGACATGCCAGAGATTGGGGATAATTGTGACAGTTACCTCGAGTTACTCTTGGGAAAAGAGAATAATCACCCCAGAACTAAGAACTGGTACCATATTTGTTACCAAAGCTGCAGTTTACCCAAAAAGCATTTAAGGGCAAGTTACTGATTGCAGATGATTTTCAGGATTACCAGAAACTTAGCAACCAAGTTTAGTGTCAATGTGGTGTGACAATAAAGCCAGTCCCTAAAGTATTCCAGAGAACAGCCTTATTTGGGACAGAGAATTAGACATGTTAGAGATACAGCATCCAGTTTCTTCTACTTACAGAGAAATTCCATTATCTGCAGAAAGAGCAGATTACCTACCTCATTAATTGACTCTTTATTGTACTTATTGGTATACAGCCCTACTACACCTTCTCATACTTCATGAGCTTTTTGGTGCAGGGACTATATCTAATTCACCCAGCACAGTGTCTGACCCATTATAGCTGCTCAGTGTGAGTTTGCTGAGTGGGCTACTGGGATTCTGATCAGACTGTTGATATCAATGTTGTTCACAGCCCCAAACAAGCAAACACCATGGTCACTCTGAGCCAGGAGACACATGCATGGTAGAGAGACCAAAAGAGACACGAGGACTGTCTTTTGAGACTCCTCAATAGAGAAGGCTGTGAAAGTCTCTGAGGCAACATGGCCTCAAAACAGAATCTGGCAATACAAGGGACCCCACAACCTTCAGTGTCTACAAACAGCATGGAGGCTGCAGTTGTAAGTATACCTTTCAACATCTCAGGAGCAGCAAGGGTTAGGCCTTTGGCTGTGAAAGGCAAAAGCATCCCTTCTACAAATGACAGAGACACTATGTGAAAGCTAAACATGCTGGTTGCCCCTCCAATAGTGACCCCCAGAGCAACCTGAAGAAATGATTCACAGAAAAACAGTCCATGGTCTGTGCACATATATGAAGAATTGCTTTTTCCATGACCTCCTAAAGGTCTAAGTGCCAGAGATGGAAGTCAGAGGTAAAGATAGAGAAGTAAGTATGTGCCATGCTGTCACTTCTGGTCTTCTCTGGAGAAGACCATTAGCTAATAACTGTGAAAAGAACCTGAAATTCCTTCCCAGTTCACCAACCTCCTAATTTGAGCTTTAACAAAGCCTGGTATAGGATAGGAGAGCCCTAGAATGCCAATCTAATTTTTCTTTCCCAGCTGTGTGAGTCACTTAAGGTCTCTGGGCTTCCACTTCCTCAACTATAAATGAGGGACAAAACTAAGGAATCAGTAAAATCATGCATGTAAATTGTGCTACCAAGCACACAGCAGATGCTCAACCAAAATTAGGTCTTTGTCTCTCTTGTCAAGGGAGAATCCCCAATTATGACTAGACAAAAAGCTCATAAACTAAAATATAAGACTGTGATTGATTCAGCAATTTTGTTGATCTATCTCCTTTAAGGTGTCCTGGTCAATGAAATCCTCAATCACATGAAAAGTGCAACTCAGCCGCAAAACCACAGAAAACTTGTCATGTATTCTGCAGTAAGTACTTTTGTCTTCATTTAATATCTATGTGTTCAGGTGTGTGATCTCTTAGAACGTGGGACCTCATCTTCATGTCCCCATTGCCCAAAGGACAGTAGGCACTTGCACAAACACTTTTGGAATTAAGTGCATCATTTTGGTCCTTGAGAAATTTACAATTCAACACTAAGACTAACAAGAAGCCAACCTAACATATAAACACTGCACCAAGCATTATAGAAATGCCATACAAGTAAGTGCTTTGGAGCCTCAAAAAAGGTAGCCATCTTTCTGCAGTAGGAGGATGGGGAAAAGAAAGAGGAGATGTCCTGGACTGAGCAACCCATCAAAAGCATCAAGGTGGAAGAAGTTACTAAGTGGCTCCTTACCCATGTGTGAGGGACATGAAGGGAAATACTAGGGCACACACGGAACGTCAGAAACATTAAGTGGACAAGCTGGTACCAAATTAGTTGATGTTAACTGTGCTGCCCAATATGAAACCTCGCAAGCACATGCAACTCTTTAAATAGAAATGAATTATTATTCTGTAGAATGAAAAATTAAGTGACTCAATTGCCCTAGTCACATTTCAAGTGCTCAATAGCCACGTGTAGCTGAATTACTCGGCACAGACATCATTATAGAAAAGTTTATTAGCATCAGAAAGTTAGAGATGAAAGGCAACTTAGTAGCCATCTTGTCCTGCATGCTTCTTGGGGTAAAGTATCAGAAGATCATTGAAATGAAGGAGAAACCGTGAAGATGTTTGCTCAGGGAAGGCAGGGCAGGGGGACGGGATAGGAGCAGTATTTCAAAAATCAATCCTCTTGTAGAATAACTAGAAATTAAGAACAGGATATGATGTAGAAACTTCTGTAATATCTAGAAAAAAATAGGGATGAGATCTAAAAGTAGGGTGGCCACAGGAGAGAACAAGAGGCTAGCTGGGTTACAAGCAAAGCCATGATTTGGCTCCAGAAAGTCATATTTCTATTCATGCAGGTTGAAGAGGTGACTGAAGACATAGGGCAGTCTGTTTATTGTCAGGAGTCTAATGGAATATCTTGGAGAAATAGCCCAAGGAGGAAGCAGAGGGGGGTGGCATTCCTAGAGAATGATGGACCTGAAAGTAGATGATTCTGCCAGGTCTTTTAAATTTCTAAGCTCATGATAGCAAGCAAGTAAGCAGTCAGTTACTGCCACTGCTACACAGTTTGGTTTTACTTAATACCAAAAGAGGATGACTAGTAACCTGTGCAAGCTGCTTTAAAAAAATTCAAATTCATTTCCAGTTCTTGTCGTATCTTTTACAGGTCATCTTTAACTCCTTTTCTTTCTCAATTAGATTGGTTCTTACTCTTTTGAATACATGTACACTGCCATCCAGTTCAGGTGGCCACAGGTTTCCCCCACTTTATAGATGTGGAAGATGAAAGAGATTAAGATTAAATAGCTAATCCATGCCAAAAATGGAACCGAAAGTCATTCCCTATACCTTCCAGCCATTTTGAGGCAAACGTTTGCCTTTGCTATTATCTTTATCAATTATTTTTAAGCCATACTATCTAACTCCTTATATTTTAACCTCCCTAAACAGTTATTGCTTCATATACTCTTACATGACATTAAAATTAAAAAATGAGCATGGTGGCACATGCCTGTTATCCCAGCTATGTAGAAGGTAGAGATGGGAAGATGGAAGTCCAAGGCTGGCCCCAGGCAAAAAGCATGAGACCCTACCTGAAAAATAAACTAAAGTTAAAAGACTGGAAGTGTGGCTCAAATGGCAGAATGCTAGTACAAGTTCCTGAGTTCAAGCCCCAGTACTACAAAAACTAATGACGCTACTCTGTTGGAAAATGTGATTTGGCATTCATCTGTTCCAAACTATCCTAAAATTTAATGAAACAAGCAAAAGCAGAGATGTGCTTTACTGGGATAAGGCACAGACTTAAAATCAGGAAAGCTGACTCACGCTCACTTTATTCTATTTTAGAATTCTATGACATTAAACAAGTTACCTGATTTTTCCGGTCTCAGAATCTGTGTCTTTTTAAATGGAGATAATATGCATGTAAATCTTACTGCCTAGCGTAAGCAAAATTGGTTTTTAACCCTCTGAAATGGGAGCAGTGAGACTGTAATTGAACTGGAAGCCACTGTGGTGGTCTACAAGTGCAAAAACTATTTTAACACAAATCTGAACCAAGGTGAAGATCAAAACTGATTTGCTTCAACTCTCTGTAGCATGACACTACTGTGAGTGGCCTACAGATGGCGCTAGACGTCTACAATGGAATCCTTCCTCCCTACGCTGCTTGTCAACATACATTGGGAATTTGCGCCTTGCTGAGGGGTAAGTGGTCTGGAGAACTTCCTTTTGAAAATCGGTGCCCTTGGCCTCCAGTGCTGTTATTGTTGGCTTAAGGGTTGTGTGTCTGTCCATCTTTGGTTTGGGTTCATGTTCATGGGGAAGAATGGTGGTGAGTAACACTACCTGGGTTCTTTTTTCTTTGTTCTCATTGAAGTCTTTTATTGGGAAATAGTGCACATACCCCAAAAATGAAAAATTTGACGGAAATCATCCTAGTGATAAAAATTTGCAACTTTTTTAAATAAAAATGAAGGACTTCCTAAAGGAGTAAGCGGCATTGTATTGTTCTCTGGAAGAAAAAACATAACGGTCCTAGCAGAAAATGTCAGGAAGAAAATAAAGTAGCTTGATGTTTTACATGGTAATAGTTTCCTGCAACCAAAGACTTCTAAACAATACCCATGAAACTCCTGTTGAAATCACACTCACCAGTCGAGATTCTTAAAGCCAAACTTCTGCTGATGGTTACCTTCTTTTTGTTGGCCTGGAAGTGGGCCTTCCTCCAATGACTAGCTTGACCCTACTGGAAAAGGTCAAAGTTTGAGAGGCCAAAACGTTCAGCCATTTATCAGAATCTCTACCCCACCCCCTTTCTTTCACTCTCTTTCTCTCTCTCTCCTTGTCTTGTACTAAGGCCTTGAAAGTAGGTCTTCCTTAGACTTGAACCATGACTCCATTCCCCAAAAGCTCTTCTAATAACACAGGTCCATTCCCTTAAAGGCCATCTGGCACAGTTAATAAATCCAGACTTATTCTGGGATCAAGCTCTTAAAAGCAATAAAGATGAAATCTTTCTGGGAATTAAGAATGAAAAGCTACAGTCCTCTTCGGTTTTGTAAAATCCTGTGAATCCTGAGCTTGATTTATGGGGTGCTGCAACATTTTTTTTCCCACTGAAACATTTTGTCTTACAAACTTTGAAAAAAAAATCCTTTCTTAATTAAATAAGTGGTGGGGGTATTTTTTTCAATGGGGGGAGAAAAAAAAAAAACACAACCTTGTTTTGACCAAACAACAGGTCAACTTTTGTTGTTGTACCTAGGATTTTTTTTTTTTGAACTTGGATACTACTCAGGACCTCCACAACTTAGGTAGTATTTTACCACCTGTGGGGGCTTTGACCCTTATTTTTTTTGGATAGGCGTCTCACATTTTTGCCCAAGCTGGCCTGGAACCAGGATCCTCCTACCTAACAGCCTCCTGCACGAGAGCTACATTATCCCATGCTTGGCATATATCAGGATTTTTTTTTAATTCATATGTGCCTTCAATGCTTGGGTCATTTCTCCCCCTACCCCACCCCTTCCCTTACCAACCATTCCCCCCCTCCTCTTCCTCCACCCCCTCAATACCAGCAGAAACTATTTTGCCCTTATCTCTAATTTTGTTGAAAGAGAGTATAAGCAATAATAGGAAGGACAAGGTTTTTGCTGTTGAGATAAGGATAGCTATACAGGGAGTTGACTCACATTGATTTCCTGTGCATGGTGTTACCTTCTAGGTTAATTCTTCTTGATCTAACCTTTTCTCTAGTTCTGGTCCCCTTTTCCTATTGGCCTCAGTTGCTTTAAGGTATCTGCTTTAGTTTCTCTGCGTTAAGGGCAACAAATGCTAGCTAATTTTTTAGGTGTCTTACCTATCCTCACCCCTCCCTTGTGTGCTCTCCTTTTATCATGTGCTCAAAGTCCAATCCCTTGGTGTTTGCCCTTGATCTAATGTCCACATATGAGGGAGAACATACGATTTTTGGTCTTTTGGGCCAGGCTAACCTCACTCAGAATGATGTTCTCCATTCCATCCATTTACCAGCGAATGATAACATTTCGTTCTTCTTCATGGCTGCATAAAATTCCATTGTGTATAGATACCACATTTTCTTATCCATTCGTCAGTGTGGGGCATCTTGGCTGTTTCCATAACTTGGCTATTGTGAATAGTGCCGCAATAAACATGGGTGTGCAGGTGCCTCTGGAGTAACCTGTGTCACAGTCTTTTGGGTATATCCCCAAGAGTGGTATTGCTGGATCAAATGGTAGATCATGTTAGCTTTTTAAGTAGCCTCCAAATTTTTTTCCAGAGTGGTTGTACTAGTTTACATTCCCACCAGCAGTGTAAGAGGGTTCCTTTTTCCCATCCTCGCCAACACCTGTTGTTGGTGGTGTTGCTATGATGGCTATTCTAACAGGGGTGAGGTGGAATCTTAGTGTGGTTTTAATTTGCATTTCCTTTATTGCTAGAGATGGTGAGCATTTTTTCATGTGTTTTTTGGCCATTTGAATTTCTTCTTTTGAGAAAGTTCTGTTTAGTTCACTTGCCCATTTCTTTATTGGTTCATTAGTTTTGGGAGAATTTAGTTTTTTAAGTTCCCTTATATTCTGGTTATCAGTCCTTTGTCTGATGTAGCTGGCAAATATTTTCTCCCACTCTGTGGGTGTTCTCTTCAGTTTAGAGACCATTTCTTTTGATGAGCAGAAGCTTTTTAGTTTTATGAGTCCCATTTATCTATGCTATCTCTTAGTTGCTGTGCTGCTGGGGTTTCCTTGAGAAAGTTCTTACCTATACCTACTAACCCAGAGTATTTCCTACTCTTTCCTGTATCAACTTTAGAGTTTGGGTCTGATATTAAGATCCTTGATCCATTTTGAGTTAATTTGGTATAGGGTGATATACATGGATCTAGTTTCAGTTTTTTGCAGACTGCTAACCAGTTTTCCCAGCAGTTTTTGTTGAAGAGGCTGCTATTTCTCCATCGTATATTTTTAGCTCCTTTGTCAAAGACAAGTTGGTTATAGTTGTGTGGCTTCATATCTGGGTCCTCTATTCTGTTCCACTGGTCTTCATGTCTGTTTTTGTGCCAGTACCATGCTGTTTTTATTGTTATTGCTTTGTGTAATAGTTTGAAGTCAGGTATTGTGATACCTCCTGCATTGTTCTTTTGACTGAGTATTGCCTTGGCTATTCGTGGCCTCTTGTGTTTCCATATAAATTTACGTAGATTTTTCAATCTCTTTAATGAATGTCATTGGAATTTTGATGGGAATTGCATTAAACATGTAGATTACTTTGGGAGTATAGACATTTTTACTATGTTGATTCTACCAATCCATGAGCATGGGAGATCTCTCTCCTTTCTATAGTCTTTCCTCAATCTCTTCTTCAGAAGTTTAGTTT